GTCGACAGCGGAGCTAAAAAACAAAGATACATTGTATATGTTCAGTTGGGAATTACTCACATTGGGAGAAAATTAAAACATCATTTTTTTTGGGGGGGGGCAAACAATGTGGGCATGGAATGATGAACATCAACCGCACAATAACCAGATGATGATATAACTGCATAATACTTACTCATAGAGGTCACGTCCAGCGATTACTTCCAAATTTTTGAAACAAGACAGATCATCCTGTCCAGGACCAGCATGTAATACAGATACATATCCAGTGACTTGTTTGACAGTGTTGAAAACATCTAATTCAGATGTGTGGATACCGACAACACCAAGAAATGGATCACTGTAACAGAGAAAGATTTTTGTTTGCAAATAATCAAAAGAAATTAAGCCAGATTGAATAGCAGTGTATGTGGTTTGGCTGCTCCATTCCTGATTCGTAACACGGTTACATTCATTAAGTAAATTCAGGAAATATTATATTTAAATCATTTCATACTAACCCGTCAAATGTACTTGATGTAAAGATAAGACTCCCGTCAATAACAGTGCAGTTTTGGAAAATATGGATGTTTCTTTCGTCGACTTGGTCATATATACTAAGTTCATCTCTGCCAAACCCAGGACATGCTGTGAAAAAAAAAAATTGTATTTTAGTGTTTTGTAAGCATCACAAAATGTTTCAAACTCATTGATGTGTTGATTGCACACAAAAATACAGTCTTCCATCTTTGGCCAGACTGCAATATAAATTCTATATGTATTCTGAATTTTATTTTTTATTGATGTCAGGTTCAGTCTTAGAATGACATTTACATTTGAACCATTTATAAAATTCATAAATACTTTGAGTTTTAAAACATTTATGTACGTTGGAAATAATAATTTGCATATTTGCTGATTTATCCTGATTTATACCTCTCTGACAAGCAAAAGTGACAATTTATTTCTAAAAGCCATTTGATCTTATCCAACATCTTTGATCCAGTACGTCTGCGATGACGCACATTGAAGACGAGACATAATTCACATGCATTGAAAACGTGACAAAACTAATGACTGAACACTGATCTGACAGCGACTGTAAAACTTACAGCCATTTCAGACAAAGATGGATTGTAAGTCTATTTATTTTTTCTCATCATTAATTTTTAACCATGAACAGATGATTAAAGCTTGACAAATTGAACATAAAATAAACTCAGATATATTACATATCCTGTTGAGGTGTAAGATTAGTGCATAACAACTGACAACATCTCCATCACCTCGCTACCAACTTCATCATTTTGATTTTATGACAGCACAAAGTGAGCTTAGTAGATTTCATCTGCCTAGTTTTATTATGGTGGAAATTTCCTCTCATGTAAATTTGATTGTTGATAGAAAATTTCTGTGGAGTTCTAGACGCCATAAACATTTAGAGAACATTACCTTACATTAATTCCTGATCAAAAGTTAGAAGAACCACCATATTGGTTAAAACTAGTAGCCAAAAGAAAATTATGCCTATTTTTTTCAAAAATTAATAATAAATTCAAAATAAATGACAATATATTTCTACAAAGTTGCTGTATACAAGCCTATCAACACATAATATAATCTGTCAAATGAAATGCATTCAGAAATTGACGTATACCGGGTACCGCACCGTATACCGGCATAAACAAGTTATCTGATAATGGGTAACTCTTCTTATAAACAGAAGTTGATCTTAAAATAATTTAGTTGCATGGAATAGATTCAGCAAAAGATACACTGATGCTTACTAAATTCATTTGATTATAAAATCCCCCAGACAAAGGGATTCAATTACATGTTTGACACAGCTAGTGTACCAATTCACATTTTGAACCATAATGTCATAATTTCTCGTACAGCTATAACAATTCTGTGGGCACAAACACTTAAATTCATCAGTGAGTGTACATCTAACCCATTTACCTCTAATGCAAACAAAATCTAAGTTCTGTCTGCTTATTTTCAGGTTTTTAAGTGATATATACAATTGTCAAAGTTTAGTATCAGAACCTATAAGCAATGTTAAATTATTTATTTGGTTCAAAATTAACGTCAAATTCAGAAACAAATTCCACTAAAGAAAGTGACAGAATTAAAATAAATGCTGAATCAAACCAAAATGACATGCTACATAACAAAACCATGAGGAACCAATCAAATTCCATGTCTCAATTCAATTATGTTAAAATATCATTCAATAAATAAAGATTTGGTAAAGTGACCCATCCATGTATCTCACAAACCTATAAAAGGTCATTGTCAAATTTACTGGTAAGTCAATTCTAAATATTTGGAACACTACTTTGGCAGTGTTCAGAATTCCTAAACTGATTTTGATTAAAAGAAGCATAAATGATTTGACAACAATTAAATCATAATCATGTACATTTTTATCACTGTTTAATGTATAATTTGTTACTATGGAAACAAAACCATATTTATTAAGGTTCCCTGGATATGAGTTATTTGTGCTGACCCACAAAACTGAAAGGCTAAGTCACATTGAAACCTGATCTGTCACACAGCATGTTACAACATGTCTATGCATGCTGGCTCAACTTAAAGCTTTCCAATCTTTCTCTGTTTGCATTCTGCATATTGCCTTGGGCAGGTAGTTCCCTGGTAAAGCAATACAAGCAAGTTTATCTTAGAGTCTACATATTTGAAGAGAGCACTGCAATTCCAGCATTTTCTATGATTATATCTCCCTCACATTTAAATGCATATAATAGAGCCGAAAAGTAGAACTACCGTACATGTAATTGCCCACAAGACAGAAAGAAAAAAAAGAATAAGAATTCTCCTTAGCTGCTGACGAAATCTTAGATAGGGACAGACATTATATATTAGCTGGACATAATAATGTATAAAACATGAATTCATTGGAGTTGTCTGCGATGAAGTTTTAAATTCTTCATGTTACATTAAAGAAGAAGCACCGGTATTTATTATTACAAAGTAGAGGGCAATAAAATATACTTTAATATTAGCTTCACCACAAACATTCCCACCATGCATAGACTAACTGTATCTCACAGTGGATTTCTAAATCTTCAACAATCTGAACAAGGCAGGGAAAAAATATTCCTGTTGATGGTCATTATGTATCTCAGTTAAAAATGTTATTATAATAAAAAGTTTAAAATATATATATATATATATACAAGTACATGTGGATGATTTTAATGATACTTTTAGAGAAATAATTTGTTTTCTAAACTTCCTATTCCAAACCTATTCTTTGTTATATTTACATAATACTGAGTCCTATCTTCATCTGGTTCCCTGCCTTAATTCCTATCTATGGCTGCTATTTCTTCACTTCCTTAACATCCAAATCTGTGCTATTTCACAATACTTCCTGATGAAATGCCTGTGAAAAAACTATATGAAGATTACATGATTAAATATTAAAGGTAAGTTAGAGGTGGACTATTAGAAACTCAGGGAGGGGCGATGGCAGAAAAACTATTTTTATTAACTTTTTTTTGTTTTGTGCAATTTTTTCCTCATGATAAATTTTCTTATAATTTGCTGAAATGTGAAAAAAAAATTTCTTAAGATTTGTTACTACCCTGCAGAATTTTTTGTCAATGAATTTTACTTGTGTATTTTCGGAGTTTCTAATAGGGAACCCCTTAAAGCAAAAATTTGTCCATTGCATTCCATTGCATTCCACTGTTTTTTTATTTTTGAAATTCTTATCTTTCAATCATTCATTTTTGCATATAAAAAGACATAACATGTCTCCTTCAGCAATGATTGGAACAAGGTAAAAATGGGCGACACCTTTCAGTGTATTTATGTGCAGACGAGACACCAATCGATTATTTGTTTTACTCAAAACTAGATTCACTATTTTTTTGGTTTCTC